AAGGAAGTCACTATGTGCAGCCCACACTTTAGGAAAGAGGAGTTGTATTGCACCTCCTTGAGGACAAAGTATTTACATAAATTATTTGGAATTCTTTTGCATGGAAGATTTCTCTCTTCTCTCCCATTTATGTGTTTATTCAATCATTTATATCAGTATGGGTACATAGATATTTATTTTATATTTTGGGTTATAATCCAAAACTACTTTTTATTTTGTTGCTCAAAGTTCTGCTTTGGTCATTGGGAACTCTTTCAGTTGGCTCCTGTGACCTTTCTTTTGAAGTACCCTCACCATTGTAGTTTTTTTTGTTTTGGGTTTTTTTTTTTGTTTTTTTTTTTGAGCACTTCCTTACTCCCTGGCACTACAGAATACTCCAGGCTCACTTTATCTCCTCTGCCTCAGTCCTAGAATCAGCCATTTCTCCAAGCAGCCCTGGTTCCTTTTTATTAGAGAATGGTATTAGAAACTAGGATCTGGGTGCCATGTGTGCTTGTTGCTACTGGGGTGTGGATGTTTCTAGGCCCTTTCAGCTGACAGAGTAAGGAAATATATGTGTGTATACCAACCCATGTATATACAATTACCTACAAGTATTTCTATATGTAACATCAGTATTTACATTAAGTTACATTCTAAGCCATTACCATAGGGGTTATTCTAGCCTTCTACCCTTGTTTGTAACCTCCCACTCCAACAATGAGAAACCTGGCTTCTGCCACATACCATCTATTTACTGATTGTTCAATTCCAGTTGTGTAGTGGTTTCAGAATTGTTAACCCTTTGTCAGCTAGAGTACAGTGCTTATTATAGTTTCTCTTGCCTTTAGTCTAATAGACTCTACTCATATCCAGAGTTGGTTAGGTCAGCACCTTTTTCTGGATGACTTTTATTCTCTGAATGTCATATGTGCTTTCATACCTCTTTTGTCTTTATTTGCATTGATCCCTTTGCCTGAAATGCCCTGGCTTTCACCCTTATGTCTTGGAATATTCCTACTGATTCCTCTTATACCCAGTACAGATATTGCCTCTACCAGGAAGCTTCTCTGAGCCACTACCCAAAGACTTAATCACTCATTCTTCTGTGTTCTAATAACACCTTATACTTACCTTTACCTTTACTATATATTGTGTCGGGACGCTTTGTTTGCATCTCTTTCTTCCTTGCTTGAGGTAAGTTTCTTGAGAGCAGGAACCAAATGGATTTATCTCTGAATTCCCAGGACTTAACAATAATGGACATTATATGTTAGAATCCTGTTATATGAAAATAACAGAAAACCTAATAGTAGCTAAAATACATAAGAATGTCTTTTTCTCACATAGCAGGAAGTGCAGAGGTAGGTGATAACTCTCATTGATTTACGTGCTCAGTGATGCCGTCAAGAATCCAGCCCTTTTCCTCCTGTTCACACAGCATAACACCTAAGTTCAAGAGAGAGGCAAGGTGAGTTGGTGCCAGCAAGCTATCCTCTGGACACTTTCCCTTTCTATAAGAAAGCATAGACTTCAGCTCTTTAGCAGGCTTCTATCAGTCAGAACATGGTCACATGTCTCCCCCAACTGCAAGAGAAGCTGAGAAGGTGAGTTTTTAGGAAGGCTTATCTTTTGAATAAGAACAAGATGTTGGAATTAGTCTCCCAGTATTCACAAGGCCACTGCTCTGTCTAGAAAGCCACCAGGGAATCAGGGATCTGTTTCCTATTGAACAAAAGGCCTGTGTGTAAACAGAAGACCAGTCTAAGAAGTTGTTTGAAAGACAATAGGAAAATAGAAGTGATCTCAGTGGGATCAGCATCTGATTGTTACAGATAGAAAGCACAGATACATCTTAGGAGGAATCTAACATACTTTGGCCACTCTGACCATAATTTTACAGAATTCTGTATTGCTCCCTGGGAAACTTTCAGCTTGTCTGTTCTCATATAGAAATTGCATCCCTTCCTGTGAATTTTACTTTTCCTTCTCTGGACCCTTTTTCTGATTGTGTTGTGCCTTCTGTGAAGTGAGAGTCAAAATTTTACCTGATATTCCACAGTGCAGTTTATCTTCCTTTATTTTTTTCAAGTTATAACTAATTGTAGTTCTTTAAAATAGAATTTACACCATGCTATAACATCTGCCTAGCTGAATCCCATGTTCTTTTAAAGTTACGGAAATACATCCATTTGGATACCTTTATTCACTAATGTTATAGTCCAAACTTTTTGTATCTAGCATCCACTACTGACTTGATTTTTCTAATATTCTACCCTCAGCCAGGGCAGCCTTATTGATACATTAGTCCAAACATAGCTGAGTAAATCCTGCATATGAGCAAAGCACCTCCCGTCACCTGGTGTACCTAGAGATAAGGATCTCTGCAATGAACAGGAAAGCAGAAGTCTCAGTATGGGCAGAACTCCATTAATCTCATCCATGTGAGTTTTTACCACACTTGTAAGGAAGGACTGATAGCACTTAAAGTATGAATGTAACTTAATATCCTTTATCAGCCCACTAAATTTGGTTACCATCTCCAGAAGTTACTGTAGCACAGACAAGTGTGAAATGCCAGGTGAGTTAAAACTGATTTCATTCTGGTCTGGCATAACGCTTTTGGAGACAACTTGTAGAATAATTAGAATAGTGTACACTTCACATATTTTGGATTGAGGTTTGAGATGGGCTTACATGAAATCCTTTAAAGAAATAACTTCTGCATCCCAGTAGCCTCTGCTTGTGTGAGAGTATCACATAGTCGCCCTTCAGGGCAGTCATGGAGAGCAAACACTAAGCATGAGATTCCCGTTGTGAAGCTGCAGTGACTGACGTCACAGTGTGATCAAAGTGCTCTGCAAATACTTACTGTAATTATTGTTGTTCTGTTCTTGCTAATGACCTTATTTATACCCTGAAATTATAACCATCCAAAGCAAGATTAAAACAAGATGTGTGAGTTGCCAGAACTGTTTGCCTGGCAGACGGTCACCCTCGGAGTTCTCTGAAATTGCCAGAGTTAATTGAAGCTTCAGTTTTTATTGCAGAGTAGTTCAGACTTAAGTGTTCCTTACCTGTTGGCTTTCACTCTCTAAAAGAGTACAACAATAGTACTTTAATTTGTTCTCATTAATTCTAGCCTCTCAGGTAATGTTTAGTGCAGCTTTATCTAGATGATGTTTGCTCCTCTGAATGAAACCTTTGTACCAGCTTCCAAACTGAGAATAAAAGCTGAAGAGTTACAAAGGTGAAAACATGAATATCTCACTAATTTATTTATTTAAAGGATGCTCAGGACTCAAGAAACATTGAGGGAGAGTTAACTTTTAAATGGTGGACAGGCATTTAGTGTATGATTAACAGCAGTTTCTTTGCCTGGGGTTTCAGCAAGCTGAGACAACTGGGAATCATTCTTGGGGAGTCTTGCAAAGAGTTTTTCCCAGAGCCAGCAAAGTGCTCTAAGGATAGTCATTCTAGATTCACACAAACAGCAGTACTATTTACTGTTTCTTTGGTGTTCCTCTAATGGTATTAATGTTAAAATATAAGAAGGCAATCTTAGGATCAAATTTAAAAAGCAAGGGAACTAAGAAGCCTTTCCTTGCCTGTACTCCTCAGCTGCGCAAAACCAGAAGACCAGTGAAAAGACCTGGGTGTTAAGATGTTACATTAATTAGGTGGTGCAAGAGCCCTTTGCCTGTGTCTTGAGATTTGAGTACTGGTTAAGAGAATGACTGTGTTCTCCTAAATCTGGGGACACGTGCCTCCTAGTGGCATTGCTTGCTCTTTGATTAAGGCCCAAGAGGAGAAACAGAGTTGAGAGAGATGAAGGGAGAGAAGGCATTCTGGGCCTCCTTAAATCGGGTGCAACAAATTAGCAACCCTAGTGAAAACTGGAGGATTAGTACCATGATCCTTCTTGTGTATGTGGTATTCAAAAGTAGAAGGCAAACGAGTCGATAATACGTATATGGATAACAAAGCTGTTCCAAAAAAAAAAAAAAAAGGAAGGAAGAAAGAAAGAAAGGTACAGAAAGGTAGAACACGGGCTCTCCAGTTAGACTGCTTGGATTAGAATCAAAGCCAGTTTTTACGTGGGTGACCTTAAGCGTATTCGTTCTAATAACACCTTATACTTACCTTTACCTTTACTATATATTGTGTCGGGACGCTTTGTTTGCATCTCTTTCTTCCTTGCTTGAGGTAAGTTTCTTGAGAGCAGGAACCAAATGGATTTATCTCTGAATTCCCAGGACTTAACAATAATGGACATTATATATGAAAGATAAATTGGAATTGGTGCTTTACTTCCTAAAATATTTCTTTCAATATACTTTATATTATTTCCTTTAACTAAAATCCTCCTTTTAATAATAAAAAAGTTATTAAAACTATTGCCCCACAAAATAAAATTTGCAATTATTTAAGAAGCTCCTTTTCATGTGTGTAACATACATTTTACCTGTTCCAGTAGATTATGTTATAGTTTGTTCGTATGGTTAGGCAGATGTGTGAATCATTGTAAAAAGGGCTCCATTTTAGTAGAAGGAAAAGCATTTAGCTAAAATTTGAAGTTCGGGTAGAGATCTGTTCCCCACATGTCGTACTTCTCTATCAAGACTTCTTCTTTTGTTCTAAGCTCATTGTGGTGGTGGTTGGCTCAGAAAACTGGTTAAGTATTAAAAGCATCTTTTCCTTGAAGTCATTTTATATATTTGTCCTTTTCCTTGCCTTCTAAAATAGACGCATACCTACCTACACCCAGAGCTGATAGGAAGTCTGTTAGCTCTTCATGGTACACCTCTTCATACTTGGTAGCATAATAAATACTATTGATAATGACACTCTGTCAATCTCATACTTGTATGAGTTTCATTTCCTCTCTGGGTCTCCTCCTTGGTGATTGCTTTAGCCAATTGACGATTCATGACTGAGTCTTGGCATTGAGATCTCAGAGGGCCATAGCCTTCAAGTCATGCTCATTCTGTTTCATTTTGGCCTTTACAGGATTCAAGAGGACGAATCACTGTAGGATGGTGAGCTGACAGTGGAAACCTATAGGCAAAGTAAGTAGAAGAAATGGCATTTGATTATATACGCTAGAATTTGATGGCAGAATTAGTCTGAGCTAAGTGACAGGTCAGGACCACATTTTCACATTTTTCATACAGTATATAAAAATTCAAACACCTCACCAGGATTTGTGGAGATTTCTGATGCCTTCTTTCTTTTTCTCAGCTCTGAACTGGAGTAACGCAAACTAAACATGAGCCTTCACAATTAAAGCACACCGAGACATGCCGAGAAAACTCTTACTCAGGTTTCCCCTTTTAGATGTCCTCAAGTTTTGTTCCTGAAAAACATTTGATAACTTGAAACTATAATGGGAAGCACTAAATCGATGGGAAAACTTCAGTGTAACAATGTGGCCAGTATTTAAACCTTTACTTCACGCAAATGTGCAATTATCTCAGTTATAGTGGCCTTATAAAACAAGTTGAGAAGTGTTCTATTTTCTGAAAGAGTCTGTGTAAGATTGCTGGTGTTTCTTCCTTAAATGTTTGATATTCACTAGCGAAGACATCTGTGCCTGCAGTTTTCTTTGTGAGAAGGTTTTTATATTGTGATAAAATATACATAACATAAAATTTACATTTTAATCCTTTTTAAGTATAGAGTTCAGTGACATTAAGTATATTTACATTGCTTTGCAAACATCACCACCATCCATCTCCATAACTTTTTCATTTTCCCCAAATGAAACCATACTTTTTAAAAACTTTTTTTGTCTAGCTTCCTTTTAAAATTGTGTATATTTAAGGTATACAACAAGATGTTTTAATATACATATATCTAGTGAAATGGTTACCATAGTCAAGCAAATTAGCATATACATCATCTCACATAGTTTCCCTTTTTGCGTGTGTGTGGCAAGAGCATCTGAAATCTACTTTTTTAGTAAAAATCCCCAATACAATACAACATTATTGGGTATAGTCCTCATGTGGTACATTAGATCTCTAGAGTTGTTCATCCTACATATGTACAACTTTGTATCCTTTGACTACATGTCCCCATTTCCTCTCCCCCACCCATTAGGTACACTTAATTCTCCATTCTTCCCTTCTCCTGGCCTCCACCAACCACTACCCTACTTTCTTTCTTTCTTTCTTTCTGTTTTTTTTTTGAAACAGAGTCTTGCTCTGTTGCCCAGCCTGGAGTGCAGTGGTGGTGTCATTATAGATCACTGTAACCTCAGACTCCTGGGCTCAAGCAATCCTCCTGTCACAGCCTCCTGGCTAATTTTTCTATTTTTGGTAGAGGCAAGGTCTTGCTCTTGCTCAGGCTGGTCTTGAACTCCTGACCTCAAGTGATTCTTGCCTCAGCCTCCCAGAGTGCTAGGATTACAGGTGTGAGCCACTGCACCAACTTTTTCTACTGTCTGTCTCTGTGAATTTGACTACTCTCAGAACCTCACTTAAGAGGAATTGTATAATATTTGCCCTTTTTTAAACTGCCTTATTTCACTTAGCATAATGTCTTTAAGATTCATCCATGTTGTAGCATGCATCAAAATATCCTTTCTTTTTAAGGCTGAGTAATGTTTCGAGGATTCGCCATACCGTTCCACACGGCAGCTGCATCATTTACATTCCAGCAGTAATGTAAAAGGGTTCCAGTATCTCCGCATGTTCACCAATACTTCTTATTTTCTGCTTTTTTTTTAATAATAGCCCTCCTATTGGATGTTTGTTTTGATTTTAATTATAAATTTAACTTATTTAATAAATTCAGGACTATTTAGATTTTCTCTTGTGTTATTTTAAGTTATTATTGCTGACTTGTGGTTTTCAAGGAGTTTGTCCCATCTAAATGAATGGAATAACATTGCCTGTAATATCCCAATATAAGCTTGTTGACATCTGTAGGATCTGTGGTGACATCTCCTGTTTCATTTCTGTTATCGGAAATTTATCTTGGATATCAGTCTTGCCAGAAGTTTATCAGTTTTATTAACCTTTTCAAAGAACTAACTTTTGACTTTGATTTTTTCTGTGTTTTCCATTTTCTATTTCATTGTTTTCTGCTTTTTAAAAATTATTTCCTTTCTAGTTACTTTGGGTTTAATTTACTCTTACTTTTCTAGCTTATTAAGATAGAAGCTGAGGTCACAGATTTGAGATCATTTTCCTTTCTAGTAGAGGCATTTAAAACTATAAATTTCCTTGTAAAAACTGCTGTATTTGAATCCTCCAAATTTTGATATTTTGAGATTTCATTATCGTTCAGTTCAACATATTTTCTAATTTCTCTTAAGATTTAGTCTTTGGCCCATAGGTTATTTATTTACCAGGGTATTGCTTAATTTCTTAATATTTGGGAATTTTTCTATTGTCGATACCATTGTCAATTTGGATAAAAAAGCAAAGACCAACAATATGCTGCTTATAAGAGAAGCACTTTAAATGTAAACACATAAATAGACTAAAATTTTTTTAAAAAGATATGCCATACACAATATTACATTGGATAGCTGGTAGGGGTGTATTAATATTAGATGAAGTAGACTTCAAAAAAATGACTATGACCAGAGATAAGGAGGGATATTTACTAATGAATTAATTCATCAAAAATATTAACATTTAATATTGTTAAAGTCAGAAAGTATACTCTGTATGATTTCAATACTTTGGAATTTATTGAGACTTATTTTATAACCCAGCCTAAATAGTCTACCTTGGTGAAGGTTCCATGTTCACTTGAAAAGAATGTATATTCTGCTGTTATTAGGTATAGTGTCTTTCTATAAATGTCATTTATGTCAAGTTGATAATGTTCAAATCTTCTGTAAACTTCCTGAATTTTTGATAGCTGATTGTTTTAGTTATTACTAAAAGAGGGTTGTTAAAATCTTCAAGTATTATTATACTATGCATTTGTTAATTTCTCCTTTTAGAAAGTTCAGTCCATTTTTGCTTCATTTATTTTATAGCTTTGTTATTAGGTACATGCACATTTAAGATTGCTATGTTATCTTGTGATGAATTGGCTGTTATCATTATTAAATACCCTCTTTATCTCTGTAATAGTCTTTTTCTTGAATTCTACTTTCCCTGATTGATATAGCACCATCAGCTTTCTCATTGCAGTGTTTGCATCTTTTTAAATTTTAATATATTTGTGTCTTTATATTTAAAGTGGTTCTCTTATAGACAATATATTGTTAGGTCTTGCTTTTTTTTTTGAGACCGAGTCTCACTCTGTTGCCCAGGCTAGAATGCCGTGGCATCAGGCTAGCTCACAGCAACCTCAAACTCCTGGGCTCAAGCAATCCTCCTGCCTCAGCCTCCTGAGTAGCTGGGACTACAGGCATGCGCCACCATGCCCGGCTAATTTTTTCTATATATTTTTAGTTGTCCAGTTAATTTCTTTCTAATTTTAGTAGAGACGGGGTCTCGCTCTTGCTCAGGCTGGTCTCGAACTCCTGAGCTCAAACGATCCGCCTGCCTCCGCCTCCCAGAGTGCTAGGATTACAGGCGTGAGCCACCGTGCCCAGCCCTTGCTTTTTTATCCAAGTTGATATTCTATGCCTTTTAATTGGAGTTCATTTACATTAATGAAATTATTGATATGATTGAGTTTAAATATGCCATCTTGATATTTGTTTCCTATTTGTTCCATCTGTTTTTAATTCCTCTGTTCTTCTTTCCCTGCCTTCTTTTGAGTGAAGGGAATATTTTAAACTGTACTTCTTTGTGTTATTTCAAATAAAAATACTACGTATCCACACAGTTTCATTATGCAAATAATATCTTAGGTAAACTCATATTCAAATTAGAGTATGCCAAAAGAGAGTTAAGAGAACACACATAAAGGGAGTGGGTCATTCTGGTGGCCGAAACCAACTTCCTTTACCAGAATTCTATTTGGAGCTGGCCCTGCCCTTCTCTTCTTTTCCCATCACAAAATGGAACCCTGACCTAGTAAACCTGAAGCTAACATAGTAGTCATTATATAAAGCAGATATTTGTTAATCATTGTGGTTAATAACTGGATAGCTGCCTGTATACTGTCACACTCTTCTGTCATTTCCTTCTTTCTCCCTGCAAGGATCTTAGGAGCTACCCTGGAAAATATGAAATAACTTCCTTGCAATTAAATTTAAGTCAGACAAGTATCATTATTTTTATGTAACCAGTCAAACAATTCATGAGCAACTTGGTACTGCCTCTAGAAGCTAGCTATTTCGTTAAGAAGGCATTTATATAATTTTATTATGTATTTATCTATATTATATATTTTCTTTTATGTAAGTTTATTATATACTTAAAAAAGATAAATAGCAGCACAAGGCTTTGTGTGTCTGTTACAGATAAATAAATGAAATACATAAATATGTTTGTGTGGTTAATTAGAGAAAGAGCTGCCTAAGCAGGGAACCACATATTTCGACCCTGGCCACACAGTGCTCTCCCCACAGGCTAGCAGGCAGCAAGGCACACAGAATCTGACATTTTCCTAAATTGCCTAATATCCAGTCTGGTTATGTCTTTTGTCTCTGACTGTCTACAGAGGTTCTCGGTCATTTATAGTAAGAGACACTCTTGCCTTTTTTTTTGTTGTCTTTCTCTTCTATATATAGATAGATATAGATAAGTATGGCATGATTATTTGAAGGATTGAAATTTCCTTTTGATTTGGCTTTCCTGGGTGGGAAACATTTACATCATTTCACACTTTTGAGCATGAATTGCCTCTCTTTCTAGGTGTAATCAGTTTCTACTTTTCAGCATTCAGAAGATTTTATGAATTATGTTCAGTTCAGAAAGAGCTCTAAAAATAATTTTGCAGGTAGGGTTTTGCTACTCTTATGTGGAACACTGGCAAGGAAAGAGAACAAAGGCACATCAGGATGAAGGTAGTGGTAGGCGGAGCATTTCATTGCATTTGCCTCCACCCAAAGAGCTTGCATTTAGTGGAGAAAGGAAAACAAACAAGGCGGCGCATCTGCACTAGCTGTTCAATGTTTCCTTTCTCATCACTGTTAGTTACATTTGAATGGAACCATTACAGTATTTTTGGTGTGTATAACAAAGCCCCCTTTTTTTTCCAAAAGGGAAATTTTGAATTTTATGTTTAAAAGGACAATGACATATTTTTGACATTCTGCAGTTCATTTTGGAATTCACAGTCTTAAAACCCATTCATTTTCAGTAAAGTGGTAGAGGGTGTACAGCACATGGCATTTTTATGCCTAATAGCACCTCCAATAGTCCCTAATGCATGTTGTGTACACACACCTTTTACCATCTGTTTCTACCTGACAGCTTATGGCGTTAGGCTGAATGTTGTGATGAATAGCTGATATGTCAAGCAGTATTACAATGAATTCTTATTGGAAAATGTAAGCTCGTTAAAGCATCTTTTTAATACTTTCCCGTAAAGATTTTAAAGTGACATATTTACAAGTACATAATTAAGATGACATACTCTTTAAATGTTTGTTTAAGTTATTCTTCCAGAAATTTGGATGGATTTGGGCTAATCAATTAGTGATTCTCTTCTTGAGCGAGGATTTAAGCACGCATTGTATAGGGAAATCTGTTTTGTAACTGTGTTACTATTCTTAAAAATATATGTATACAGGATCATTAGAATTAAGAATTGCTGAGACTCTGTCTTAATATAGTATTTAGGTACTTACTTGACTCTCATTCAGTTCAGCATGAAGAACGAGACTTATAGGTTTATTTTCTTATTTTTCTACTAGGGTTTTTGGTCTAGTGGTCACAAAATATTCTCAAGAAATATGTTTGCTTAGAATTCCCAAAACAAAATAAGAAAATCACTTTTTTAAAAAACTTTCCTGAATATAATACATAAAATTCAGGATCTGGGGCTTATATGCTTTGACCATGTGCTAAAAATTAAATAAGCAAATACCCAGCAAAGCAAAGTTGATCAAGGCTGTGGCATAGAAATAATGCTGGCCAATGTCACCTACCCTAAATATTCCTTTCCCCTTTCTTGGCCGGAAAATACCTCAGAAGAGAAGCTGTCTTGCCTATTTCTCATGTAAAAGTTTTTGGTTTTCATGTCCTTTCTCAGGTTGTAAACCTTAGGGACCAGATTTTGGCTATTAGATAAACAATACACCATGCAATTCATAATGACTAATTAATCATTTGTAACTTCTCAGGTATTGCTCAGGATGAATATCATTTGGAGAAATTTCACTTCCTGTCTAAGGCTAGGAAAGGTGCCACACAGATACCAAAGTGGGTACCATCCAGTGGCCCCTCTGGGATCAAGGATTTTAACTGACCCAGCCAAAGTTTTTGAACACAACATGTGGTGAGTTTTCTTTTTAGGTCTGATATTATATATGTTTATTAAATATCACCAGTGGTATTGTTTTCATTTAGTACCAAGAAAGGATTTTTAAAGCTGATGACCTAACTCAAGTTTTAGAGGTACAAAAGCCAGGGTAATTGATGCTGACTTAAGTGTTGCCAATTCTAAACTTCTTTGCAAATGAAATTGGAAAAGTGAAACTACCCAAGTGCTTTTAGTGTTTTGGAGTTCTTGCAGGCCCTTCCTTCTTACCTCTGCTCTTGATTTGCCAGCCTATCACTAGGTGGGGCGTGAGGGGCTATTTTCTAGGTGGGGCCCCTCCTGCTCCACAGGCCCTTCCTTTTGTACAAATACTTGTCAATAAGCGAATGTGTATTCAGTTCCTGCTGCTTACTGAGCACCAGGGAGAACATGTTGATATGACCCTCGTCCACACTTTCAGGAAATCCACACTATTTGAGAAGATAGATATTTATTAAAAAAGGTTAATAATTAGCCATACAAGGCAGCAAGTTGTAAGAGTCCAGGGAGTGTTGTAGACTATATGGCTTATAAGAACAACTCAGTAATGTAAAACCATTTCTGTCTATGCAAAATCAGGAAGATTTCTTTTTTTCTTTTTTTCTTTTTTAGAGACAGGGTCCTGCTGTGTTGCCCAGGCTAGAGTTCAGTGGTGCAATCACAGCTCACTGCAGCCTGGAACTCCTGGCCTCAAGCAATCCTCCCACCTCAGCCTCCTGAGTAGCTGGGACCACAGTGTGCTGTACCATACCTGGCTAATTTTTATATTTTTTGTAGAGACAAAAAAATGTTGCCCAGGCTGCTGTTTCACTACTGGACTTAAGCAATCCTCCCAGTTCAGCTTCCCAAAGTGCTGAGATTACAGGTGTAAGCCATTGTGCCTGACCTCAGGACGATTTCTTAAAGTGGGGGAAAATTGAGACTGGGATTATATATTTTCTATCAGAAATATTTTGGGTTTGGTTCCAGACCACTGCAATAAAGCGAATATTGCAATACAGTGAGTCATGAATTTTTTTGTTTCCTGTTCATGTAAAAGTTATGTTTACACTATACTGTAGTCTATTAAATGTGCAATAGCATTATGTCTTAAAATATGTACACACCTAATTTAAAAATACTTTATTGCTAAAAAATGCTAACAATCATCTGATCCTTCAGCAAGTTGTAATCTTTTTGGTGGCGAAGGGTCTTGCCTCAGTGTTGATGGCTGCTGACTGATCAGGTTGGTGGTTACTGAAGGCTGGGGTGGCTGTGACAATTTCAATGAAGTTAGTCACATCAACTGACTCTTCATTTCATGAGAGATTTTTCTGTAGTATGTGATGCTGTTTGATAGCATTTTACCCACAACAGAATGTCTATCAAAATTGGAGTCCATCCTCTCAAATCCTGTTGCTGCTTTATCAACTAAGTTTATGTCATATTCCAAATCTTTTGTTGTCATTTCAACAATGTTCACAGCATCTTTGCTAGTAGATTTCCTCTCAGGAAACTACTTTCTTTGCTAATCCATAACAAGCAACTACTCATCACTTGAAGTTTTATCACGAGATTACTACAATTCAGTCACATCTTCAGGCTCCACTTCTAATTCTAGTTCTCTTGCTATTTCCGCCACATCTATAGATAGTTCCTCCATTGAAGTCTTAAACCCCTCAAAGTCATCCATGAGGGCTGGAACCAACTTTTCCTATATTCCTGTTAATGTTGATATTTTGACCTCTTCTCATGAATCACAAATGTTCTCAATGGCATTCTTTCCAAAAGGTTTTTAATTGACTCTGCCCAGATCCATCAGAGGAAATACTACCTATGGCAGCTATAGCCTTACAAAATGTATTTCTTAAATAAGAAGACTTGAAAGTTGAAATGACTCCTTGATCCATGGGCTGCAGAAAACAACATTAATCTCCTTGAATATCTCCATCAGATCTCTTGGGTGACTAGGTACATTGTCAATGAACAGTAACATTTTGAAAGGAATCTTTTTTCCTGAGTGGTAGGTCTCAACAGTGGGCCTAAATTATTCAGTAAACCATGCTGTAAACAGATCTATTGTCCTCCAGGCTTTATTGTTCCATTTCTAGAGCATGGGCAGAGCACATTTAGCATAATTCATAAGGGCCCTGTGATTTTCAGAATGGTAAATGAGCATTGGCTTCAACTTAGAGTCATCAGCTGCATTAGCCCCTAATAAGAAAGTCAGCCTGTTCTTTAAAGCTTTGAAGCTAGGTATTGACTTCTCCTCTCTAGCTATGAAAGTCCTAGATGGCAGGCATCTCCTGCCAATAGAAGGCTGTTTCCCCTATGTTAAAAATCTGTTGTTTAATGTGATCACATTCATCAGTGATCTTAGCTAGATCTTCCGGATAACTTGCTGCAGCTTCTCTATGAGCACTTGCTGCATCACTTGAACTTTCCTATTATGGAGATGGCTTCTTTCCTTAAACATCACGAACCAACCTCTGCTAACTTCAGCGTTTTCTTCTACAGCTTCCTCAGCTTTCATACAACTGAAGAGAGTTAGGGCCTTGCTCTGGATTCGGCTTTGGTTTAAGGGAATGTTGTAGCTGGCTTGATCTTCTATCTAGACGACTAAAATTTTCTCTATGTCAGTAGTAATGCTGTTTCGCTATCTTATCATTCATGCGTTCACTGGAGTAGCATTTTTAATTTCCTTCAAGAACTTTTCCTTTGTATCCACAAGTTTGCTAACTGGTGGAAGAGACCTAGCTTTCAGCGTATCTCAGCTTTCAATATGCCTTCCTCACTAAACTTAATTATTTCTATTAATAGCTTTTGAGTTAAAGTGTGAGACATGTGACTCTTCCTTTCACTTGAACACTTAGAGGCCATTGTGGGGTTATTAATTGGCCTAATGTCAATATGGTTGTATTCAGGGAATAGGGAGATCCAGGGAGAGGGAGAGAGATGGGGAACAGGTGGTCAGAATAGTCAGAACACATACAACATTTATTAATTAAGTTCGCCATTTTATATGGGAATGGTTCATGATGCCCCCAAACAATTACAACAGTAACATCAAAGATCACTGATCATCATAACAGATATCATAATAACAAAACAGTTTGAAATATTGCAAGAATTACCAAAATGTGACACAGAGACAAGAAGTGAGCACATGCTATTGGAAAAATGGCATTGATAGACTTGCTATGTGTAGGATTATCACAGACTTTCAATTTGTAAAAAATGCAACATCTGTGAAGCGTACTGAGGTATGCCTGAATTTATTCTACCTCCAGTATGGAGCACAGTGCCTGACACATAAATATTTGTTAAATAATTATTGAATAAGTCAACTGGAGTAAAGACATTCTAGGTGGGTAGACAATCATAAAACCCCAAGATGAGGAAGTATAAGGCACTGTACAGACAGTGCACAGGATAATTTGCTCTAAAAAAGGCTATTATAGGAGATTGGTGAAAGATAAGGTTGGAATGATGTAAGCCAAAAGTGGGAATGGGATGAAGATTGTGCATGGTCCTGAATTCATAGCTGAAGTATAAGGCACTATAGAGCCATTGAAAAGAAATGACATTATACGTAGCATATTAAGTATACATATTTGGTAACAGTATGCTGGACAGATCAGCAGGGAGAATTGGAAGCAGGAAAGGGCCAGGGAGAGAGAGATCATGAAGGAAGAATAAATTGAACTTGGTGCTTGTGCAGAATAAAGGAAAAGGTAGAATTTGACTCTGAGTCACCTAAGTTTTGGTTCTTAGGTATCTGATAGAAATAGGAAAATCAAGAGGTAAATCGACTTTTTATTTTGGAAGAAAGATTGTAAATTTAGTCTTAGGCATTTTAAATAGGATCTGTGAGCAATACATTCAGGTGAAAATGTCCAGAGCACAGATATTGCTGCTGGCCAGGGCTGAAGAGGTGAAGTGGGGTATGAGATCTGCAGACAAAATTCTAACAGACTAGCCTCCAGAGCATGTCTTTAGGGCTGGGAAGGTGATCATGGACTTTTTATGTTTTTATTGCAACAAAATATCAATTTAGAAGGAAATACGTTGTTTTTTTAATTAATTAGTCCTATACTATACAATATAGTAGCCACTAGCCACCTGAACACTTGAAATATAGCTAGTCTGAATTGAGATGTGCTGTAAGATTTTGAAGACTTAGTACAAAAAAATAAAGTAAGGCTGAGTGTGGTGGCTCATGCCTATAACCCCAGCCCTCTGGGAGGCCAAGGCAGAAGGATCACTTGAGGCCAGGAGTTCAAGACCAGCCGGGACAACAGTGAGACCTCGTCTCTACAGGAAAATGGAAAAATTAGCAGCGTGTGGTGGCATACGCCTGTAGTCCCAGCTACTTGGGAGGCTGAGGCAGGAGAACCACTTGAGTCCAGGATTGCAGAGGGCTATGGTCACACCACTGCACTGTAGCCCTGGCAACAGAGCGAGATTCCATTATCAGGAAAAAAAAAATTAAAATATCTCATTAATAATTTTCCATATTGAGTTACATATTAAAATGAATGAAATTTTGGATATATTATGTTAAATAAAATATTGAAATTAATTTCATCTCTTTATTTTCAATTTTTTTTAATGTGGCCACTAAAAATTTTTTAATTACATATGTGGCTCACATTATGCTTTTGTGGGCAGCTGCTGAATTAAACCATTTTGACTACCATCACCAACATAGATAGTTATTGTAGGCTGTGAGATAAAATGGGCCCTTTGCCAGGCAATTAAATCTCCAGAGGAACCTCTGGTCCTAGGCAAGCTCTTTGTTTACCAATTTTTTTTTCCTTCATTAGACCCTGGTGATTTAGCCGTCTGTGTTCTCTTTTTCCATATGCTACCACCTGCTCTTTTACTTGAGATTCTTGCCTACCGATTTAAGTTCTGTTTTGTCGTAAACTCTGAGGAAAGCAAGGGTCATCTGGTCCAGCACTTCTTAAACCCCATGGGCTAGCTTTGGGCTGGCTGCA